GTTTGGGCATTATTTGTCTTATAGGAACTTTTGCATGCATATTATTGTTTCTGATTTAGTGTTTTTGTAAGGTTTCTGTTTTGTATGTGAGTTTTAGTGATTGTTTATTTGTTTTGTTTGCCTGTTTTCTGAGTAGGTATGTAGAGAGATGAGGAGTATCTGGGGAAGAGGAAAAGCATCATCAGAATATATTATAAAAAAAAAAGACTAAAGAATTAGTTTAAAAATATTACTTGAAAATCAAAGTAAATTATGTCTGAATGGGAGAAAAAAAACAATTAAAAAAAGCCTGTAGTTAAATTTAGAATTTTATGTTTCCCTACTGAACAAGGTCTCTCTCTTTTTAATAAGTCATTGTTTTAACCATTTAAAAGGAAGTCTTTTAAAGAATGAGGCTTGTTTAAACTACTCCTACTAAACTAGTAATTGAAAAACTTATTTCAAAGAACAAATATATAAATTTGTTTATAAAACTTGGCTTATTGGATAAATAAATAATATTGCAAAATGCTTTTAACTAAACTATAACTAAAATTCAAAATTAATGTCTTCCTCAAAGAATTAAGAAAAAAAAACAGATTATTTCCACAACTAGAAGGAAGGAAGGAAGGGAGGGAAGGAGGGAGGGAGGGAGGGAGGGAGGGAGGGAGGGAGGGAGGGAGGGACGATACCAAAGACTCCATTTTTATTAAAAGATCAGGATTATATCCAGATACTTCTAACTCACACCTAGATTATAAAACTTTCTTTATATTTAATATCCTACCTGGTATATTTCTAAGTGATAAAATAATAAATAATTTTGGCTTTAATGAAGTTATAAATGAAAATATTATATCCTTTCAATAAATCAAGCCATTCTGCTATGACTGCTTGCTTATTCTAAACTCTATTTCTCAAAACTAGAGTTTAAAAGATTCCAGTGTTTACACTGTAGGTAGGTAAGTAGGTAGGGGTGTGTGTGGGGGTGTGTGTGTGTATGTGTGTGTGTGTGTGTATTTCTCATTCCACATAATCTGGATAAAACAAAAAAAAATCTAGTTTTTAAATTAAACTACATTTAGTCTAGCTAGAAATACCCAAAGGTTTGAGTTAATACTTCTTGTTCAAATTATACAAAAGACATCAATCTCTAATAAAAATATCATGTTTTAAACATTGTTTTTTTTATTTAATTAGTATCCAAAATGCTCTAAAGATGGTCAGGATTAAGATATTAATTAAATAATGTGTATTCCAGTAATAAAAGGTGGGAGGATAACAGTACAGTGACTCCTTCCAAAGTCCTGTTTCCAACCATTTAAATATTAATAAGATAGTTCGACCACAAATAACTGTAAATACAGGGGAAAAATATAAGCAATTTAGTTTCTATGTAAATCTTGGTTATTTTAGATACATGTTTTCATCTGCAACCTTTACTTCATTAGGATAAACTGTATTCTTACTTAGTCTTAGATACAATAATCCTTTTTCATATATAAACATTATGTCAGATATAGAGTATGAAAAAACTCAGTCAGAACTGGATCATGATGGCTAATAGTCTGAAAGAATGCATGAGTTTATCTCTTACTAGCCTGTGCTATTATAAGCCTATTCCTCTCTCCTGAAGACTGACATCCTACCCACTACTCAGTCTCATCTACATCAGAGGATAGGAATGAGATTTCCTAGCTACAGCAGACCTTATGATATTTAATACTATTTGGTCGCCTGCATATACAAAATGCGATACTTGGAAACTACTAATGAAAACTCCTGACAAACTGTGTCTACACAGACTGACTGACTAATTGGAAATCCGGTAGTATGGAAAGAATGAAATGTTGCAGATCCAAAGGCTAATTTATCTTATCTTGGGCTACCTGTGTAATGGGACAAAGGTTCCTCAATCTTCTCTCAACTGGGACTATCATTAGCTAGCTTAACCTGAAATAAACATTCCTCCTTACTCCCCCCACAGAGTGGTCTTTAGGGTCACTACCCCTGCAACATTTGGAGGTCCACAACAGTCTGACCAACACGCAGGTCTCAGCTTGGGCTTCCTCCTAGAGGGTGTAGAACATGAGATGTTCCAGGATTCCAGAAGAGAAGAACTTCGTGCTTGCAGTGGTCCAGGCCCCTCTGACATCCCTGTCTAAATTTTCTTCAGTGAGTCACCTGGTCTGTCACCTCCAGAAGTGGCCACCCCTAATTTGTCTTATTGCTTTTGTTTGTTCTTGTCCTGTCTCTGTCTCTTCTAATCAAGTGTGTTACTTCTCATTGTGAATTAAGATCCAGAAAGTGAAACTACAGGCAGCTCTGCTTCTAAACAGCTCACTCCTGTGGAGTATTTGGAGTATTCTCCCACTATTTCTAGGAAGCACATAAAGACAGGAAAGCAAACTAAAGAGTTGAATTTTCTAAAGACTACCTTTCGACCCTTTGTGAATTAAAGCGGTAAAACGGCCTCCTTTTGACAGTGAGTGGCTGTCTGAGGGCATATACAATAAAGGCAGATAATGAGCAGTATGACTAGCGATCACAGGAAAACCTGGCCACCATGGATCAGTTTTCCTCCCTAGATGCTTAGTTATGTCTACTGCAATAACCTCCTTCATAGGTCAGCTTAAAGCCAGTACCAAGGTTTTGGTAGCTAAACCCAAAAGGGAAAAAGCAACAAAAATTCTATCCAGTGACCCAGAGGCAGAAGAACTACCCCCATACTATGTCCCTGAACGAAAAGTGATCCCATCACAAATCTGGGCCCCAGAGGCCTTTTCCTCTTCTTCCCCTACAAAGGCCTCTGTGTCTCCTCTACATTATCCACAATGGCTCCAATTATGCCCTTTCCCTAAATCCAGCAGATGTCTCAACTACCATTCCTGATTCCCTTGCCTGCCCCATTCAACCTAGACCCCAGCAGTTGCTGCCATTCTTCCCCTCCAGCAAGCCCTCTAGACTCACTCCTTTTGAGCCAAAGGATCTCAGTTAGAAGCCCCTATGCCCGTTTATGGTATATGTCCCCTTCTAGTCCAGTGACTGTAAACCTGTAAGTCCCCTTCTAGACCAGTGACTGTAAAACTGTAAGTCCTAGAACCCCACTTCTCTGAGAAACTGTAGGCACTTAATCTCTCTCGAGACTGTCTTCTATACTCAGCAGTCTACCTGGGATGATTGACAAATTACTGGTCACCCTGTTCACAGTAAAAGAAAGAGACCTCTCCTTCAGACCCCAACTCCAAAGAGTAAGAGACAGGTTCAAGAGTACATAATTGTAGATGAATATTGCTGCCTCTCAAAACCAGGATTTGGTAAAACATCAGCACATAGTGGGGCACCAAGCTCCTAATCTGGACTGAGACTGAAAAGGGGGTGTTTGAGGCTTTAAAAACAGCTCTGACATTGGCTCCAGCACTAGCATTTCCAGATGTCTCAAAACTATTTTATCTGTTTGTCTATGAAACAAAAAGCATTGCAAAAGGGATTTTAACCCAAACGTTGGGGCTACAGAAATGCCCTCGGCACACCTTGGCAGATGACTGGACCCTAGAGCTTCAGGTTGGTCTACCCGTTTAAGAGCTATCATAGTAACCACTATTCCAGTCAAAGAAGCAAACAAGCTAACTCTGGGTCAGGATCTTATACTCACAGCACCTCATGTGACTGAGGCCTTCCTATGAGGAATACCAGACCACTGGTCAGGCTATGCCACTCAAGGGCCCACAACACTGGAAGCCTGTCTACCAGCAAGGGGGCCAACTGTTCAGGTACATGAGCTGGGAGGGCACATTTCACATGCAAACCAAAACAGATTCCTCTGAAGCCATTACTTACCCAAATCGCATATGTATACAGGTCTCAACTATGAACTTCAAACAATAAAATAAACAGTAAAAGTACTGTCATATTTAGACTACTTCCTTTATTCTAGAAGACTAAACCTGGAAAATAATGCAACTCAAAGACCTAAACTCCATCTTCCTAAGAGTATTCTCTGCAATTTCTGTCCCTAGCTTCTAGCTAATTTCATTTCTTCCTCCTTCAACCTCAGAAGGTAAGATTTTTTTTTCCTCCTCTATTTAACAAGGGAGACTGGAAAACATAGCATATTGTATCTAAATATTCATTAAAGGTTTTACTATATTTGCAGCACACATAATCTGGTGTTATTTGCCTAGTGTTACTTTTCTTTGTTCGTTACCTAGTTTGATGCCTCTGTAACTCCTTGGCAATTCAAACCTAATTGCTAAGGACAGAGTGAAGGAGAACAAAGTGCAGCAAATAGGAAAGTGTTCCAACACAGGACATAACTCCTACAGTGGTTCTTATACTTGAACATCCATAGAACATTTCAACATCATGTTAAAACACAAGTTACTAGATCCCACCCCAAGTTTCTTTTCAGTGCTTGTGTCTCTAGCCATTTCCTGAATGATACAGATTCAATTCCATGTGACATGCTTTGAAAAATAAGGCTGTATATAGCATTGGCTATCAAGTGGTAAACAAAATGGGAATTTACTAGCAGTCTGAGTTATCAAATAGAGAACAAGAGTACTGCTCAACATTCTCTACTGTGACTAATCAGTGCCACACTAAAGAACTGTGAGACCCAACATCAGTGCTGATGATCTGGGAACACCTACAGTGGAGTACATCACAGCTTATTCCAAATGTGTGACCTGACCAATAACAGTCAATGTCCTCATGGAAGAAGGACTCAAAATACCAATTTTTTTTCATTTTCTTCTTCAATAACCATTTGAAATTTCCTCAACTATAGCAAACTTAAGTTTTAGTGATATTAATACATAAATGGTATAGCAAGCCACAGGAGGAAATAAGCATTTATTTAATGGTATTTGTAGATTTCTATAAATCAATATATATTTCATATGAATTACAAGAAAATACTAAAAAAACTAATTTTCCTTTCAAATTAATAATGGAAATATTTATGTACAAACAAATACACATATGCACACATGTAAACAGATGCATATGCATGAACTTACTCCAATAGGCTGAAAAATAAGTCCATCCATTTCATGGCTGACTTCTTTGGCAAAATTTCCTTCCAGAAGCTATAAAATAAAGAGATATTCTTTAGAAATACAATGATCATTTAAAAGTTACTTTAACTTTTAGCTAAGATTTTTGAAATTTTCTGTAACATTTAAGAACTGGGAAAAAAGGAAAGAGGTGGAAATTCTGGATTAAACTCTGTGACTTTTGGCCCTAATTTTTGACTTCATCTTTGCTGGCATCTCATCTTCCAAAGACTATAGTTTCTCTAATGTGAAAGCAGTACATATTAGAGTTTGAGCATGCTTATTTCCTTTAATGTTAATATAAAGTCTTTTGTTCTACTCAGTGACAGATAATCTGAGGAAGGCTAAGATGATACATAGCAGTTTAAGTGTTTTAAGTTTCAGGGTTCTGTTTCCTTTTGCTGTTGGTCTTGGTTTTTTGAGGCAGGATCTCAAGTAGCTCAGGCTGACCTCAAACTTCTATTGCCCTGCCTTCCTATCACAATGCTGAAATCACACAGAGCTCCACCACATCCCGCTGGGTTTCAATTCAGAAAGATGAAACAGTTCTGGAGACAAGACACCTGGTGACAGTTGCACAAGAATGCAAATGCACTTACTGTGACTAGTTAATACTATTAAGATGGCAAAGTTTACTGTAATGTTCTAAAAATTTCCCTCTGATTTTTGTTTTGTTTTGTTTCCCCTGCATCAGCAAGTGAGCAGATTCTTAAACTTGGATTCTTAGAGCCATTATTATGCATTTTTGGTCAAATTTTAAGACTGTTCAAAAATTCATACATTTCTCTTCAATTCAATCACAGGGATAAGGGACACAGACGAGAAGGAAATTTCACCATAAAAATGTATTATATATTAAAATCTTTGTCTTCTTATAAATAAAAATGAAAATAACCTCTGAAGTACTGTGAGTCAAATATCTACTTACATTCACTCTGGACATTAAAAAAAATTCCAATTTTGTTGAATATATATAACATATTCATCTTAGAAAAAATGAAATTCAGTTTCATACTAATTAACAGTAGGTAGACAGACAGACATACTGGCTGAACCCAAATATTTATACATGATGGAAAAAGGTTAAAACAAAAGTAAATATAACTTTGATAATTCTATATATGGAAAGCTGTCCAATGTTCAGAACCTAAATAATAAACTTTTAAAAATCTATGAATAAATAAGGAAATCAAAACAAACACTTCCTAAAGCATTTAGAACTAAGAACAAAATCATGGTAAATGTTACTTGACAGATCACATTATGAGAAAATGTTGGTGCATTAAATATCTAATTTAGAGATAAAGAAGAGGCCGGGCTGTGGTGGCGCACGCCTTTAAACCCAGCACTTGGGAGGCGGATTTCTGAGTTTGAGGCCAGCCTGGTCTACAGAGTGAGCTCCAGGACAGCCAGAACTACACAAAGAAACCCTGTCTCGAAAAAACAAAAACAAACAAACAAAAAAAAAAATAGAGATAAAGAGGAAAGGCAAGTGCTGTGTAACAATTTCCTACAGGCTGAAACATTCCATCCTGTAGGAAGTTCCTTAAGCAGGAAGGTAAACAACTCTAAATAGTTTCAGAAGTTCCAGAAACTGACCAGAGCCAACTGCTCCCCCAGAGAAGAGGAAACTAAGCTGCAAAGAATGCTCTGAGAGGAAGAAAAGCTGCAAAGACTGGAACAAGCAGAAAGCAACGAAGCTGCCTGGAAGAGGTTTAAACTAACTGAATCACCTGGAAAGGGCACTCTCCAACCTGCTGAGCTGCCTGAAGGCTGTACAGTGCTCCAGGTTTCCCAGCTTTAATGAGCTACCATCTATGCTGGGGTGGGATTTAGTGAGACTGCTATCTTCTGCATCATTTCTGCTCCTGTAAGTAGCCCCTTACCCATATTTCTATGAATAACCCCAATAATACTCATTGGTTTATTAAGTTAGACTTTGCTGGTACCCATACTTTGGTCTGACATAGGATCCCTATCTGGGGTGAATAGACATGTGTTGTATCTCCCCAGGAACAGTTTTGTCTCACAACAGGGAAGAAGAACGGAAGAAGAGACAGGCAGGGCAACACACTCTTAGAGTCCCAGAACTTGGGATGCTGGGGTAGGAGGATGACAAGTTTGAGACCAGCCTAGGCATTAGAGCAACTTCAAAGCTAGTCCATGATACCCAGTGATAACTTAACAGAAGATAGATGGACAGACAGACGGATAGAGGGAGGCAGGCAGGGTAGCACATTTATAATCCTACACTCTGGAAGGCTACAGGAATATCACAAACTGGAGGCCAGCCTGGCTTACATGGTAAGATCCTAAGCAGAAAGGAACAAAGAAAGGAGGAGAAAGGGAAGGCAGAAGAAAACAGAAACAGTCACAATCAGTGACCCCAATTTCTACTACAAAGTAAGAATTCCAACAAATTTAAGAACTGTGATTCTTAAAAAACAAAAATAAAAAACAAAAACCAAAAACAGTCATTTGGGAAAACTAAGCAAGCTCAATGAAAAGGACCCCTGTCCCTCATTTCTAGCTCTCAGCTGTGCAGCTCACAGCTCACAGCATTTAAAAAGCAAACAAAAAGTGATTGTGTCTTTGAATGGGTTTTAAAAGTCCAATTGTGACCAGAAAACAATAGGTGTTTAATTTTAAACATGATAGTAGGAATAATAGCCAGGAATAAATTTTCAAAGTGACAGTATCAGATTGCAGAGAATGTTACTGGATGGGTAGTCTTTGAAAGTCAGGCAGTCCCCATAACAAGTACCAGAGTTAATGAGGAGCCAAAAAAAATTCTTCACGTTCAGATCATATTCTTCTAATAACTTAAATATACAGCATGATTTAAAGCTACTTTTGGAATTTTATTTGTCATTATATTCCTAAATAAAATGTCTCTAAGGTTTTAAACTATAATGTCCCTCCTTCCTTACCTATATTTAAGTGAAACCTACTCATGAGTTATCATGAAAGCCTAATGTAAAGCACATTAAGCTTTACTTCCCTAGATGATTAACAGCTAAATTAGGACTGGTGAGATGGCTCAGTGGATGAAAACAACAAACTCAGGCTGGTGACGACCCCAGAACTCTTATAAAGATGGGAAGCAAGAACCTACCCCTTAAAGTTGACCACTGACCTCCATAGGCATATCACTACATGCACACACATACAAACACACACACATACACAACACAAGGCACAAGTGTATCACACATAATCATACATATACAAGCATTATACATATACAAATACACATGAATCACATATAACAAACATGCACATATACATGTATCATAAACACATACTACTAATATTTTTTAAAGCTAAATAAAAATATTTTTTCATTCAGTTTTCTTAGATAAATATTTCCTAACTCCCTACCAATGATTAAAAACCAAGTAAAGAATATTAGGAATGCTATGATAATATATGTCTCAACCTAAGTAATACCTTAATTTTAACACCAATATTTGTTTATTTTTCTCAAATAGCTTTTATTAATAATTCTTTTTCTCTCATTAAATTTGGCTTACAAACATATTTATAAATCTGGTTTCCTTGCCATTAAAAAAAATTACCCATTTTACATTTATTGGTTTGGTCCTGACATTAATCACTAAATCTAGATAATAAAAAATAAATCTACCGCCGGGTGGTGGTGGCGCACGCCTTTAATCCCAGCACTTGGGAGGCAGAGGCAGGTGGATTTCTGAGTTCGAGGCCAGCCTGGTCTACAGAGTGAGTTCCAGGACAGCCAGGGCTACACAGAGAAACCCTGTCTCGAAAAACCAAAAAACAAAACAAAACAAAACAAAAACAAAAACAAAAAAACAAACCCTAAATCTACCAATTTTAATATTTACAAGAAAGTTGTGAAAAGTGAGGGCTTCATGTCAAGTCTCAAGGTGTCACTAGCAGTAAGCACTGTTTTTCCTTAAACCTGGCCCAAGGAGGGACCTCATATCCTCACCTTTAGCACCATTATCTTAATGTAATGGTGTGATGAGCTATTTCTTCCTGGCAATCTAATTCTACTTAATTCTACACGTTATTTTTAAAGCATTTCAAATCAATGAATTTGTAAATACTTAGTTGGAAAACCCGCAAAGAAATTTTGCTACCCTATAAGCAGTGAATTGCCCTAAGCTACCATAACAGTAAATTTAAACTGTCAACTAGATACAATCTAGACTCCTAGAAAGAATGTCTCAATGAAGAACTGTTGAGACATACCTGAGAGAGATTTTCTGAATTAGGTTAACTGAGATGGGCAAAAGCAAGCATGGGCTGAGTCTAGAGTGAATGAAAAGGAGAGGGGAGCTTTGCATTAGCAATCACTTCTCTGTTCTTACTGTCGGTGTGATGGGACTGGCTGGCTGAAGCTCCTGCCTCTGTGACTTCCCTACTATGACAGTCTGCAACCTGGGATTGTGAACCAGCACTTTCTCCCCCTAAGTGCCTTTTGTTAGGGTATTTTATCACAGTAAATAATAATAATAATAATAATAATAATAATAATAAACTAGGACAGGTATGATATATTTTAATTTTTTATTTCTTTTCCCTCTAGATAAAATTCAAAGGTAACTGAAAGAAAAATAAAACAGTAGACATATCAGATAGTGTTAATCAGAGCATAGTAGTGTTTCATAAGTTTTCACTTACAGAACTTGAATTTGTTTACTTAATGTAACTTTATTTCTTGACTTCTTTTTAATAACAGAAGGAATACAACTTTCCATAGACCAAGTATTTGAAGATTTTCTCTGAAATAATACTCGATAGGTCTATGAATCACTTGGAAACCAAATCATTATAAACGCATAAGCAGAAAACATAGTGCTTCAAATTTGAAACATGAAAACACAATAGAAGTTGTAAAGTTACAGTACACAGAAAAGAGACTCTTAGAAATAATTTTTTAAGTAGTACCTTAAGACTATAGTGAAGTAAAGTAGATCTCCACTGCTTCTGGGAATACAAATTGTCATTATCAACTCACCAAAGTATAGCAAACTATATTGTGTGAATATTTAAAGAATAAAAGAATAAACTGCATTCACCCTGCAATTCTGGTTTACTCTACATACATCAGATATTTCTGGAGCAAATTGCCCACACAGCTTCAACTGCCTGCCTAAAGGGACTTAATACAATCTCTGGTGACTTCTTATGAGATCTCACTAATTCACTAAAACTCAAAGTTTAGTTTTTAAAAAATTCCCACAAAATACAAGCTTGGGTTTTAATCTTTAAAAGATATTACTCTTTAACGTTTTCTTTCCCCAAGTCTAACACTGGCTCCAGTCGAGTTCATCCACTTTGTCTAGATGCTAAATTCTTCTCTAACCAGTAACCAACTGTCATGGAAAAAAATATCTTTCTTGGAACCACAAATCAAACACATTATCCTCTCTAAAAAATGAACGACTTATTACTGTACAGGAATGAAAATTAAGCCATGTCATTAAAGTTTACCATTTGTATTCATACATAGCTTTTCCATTATCATTACTGGTTGTTTCATTAGCAGGCATCATTACAATTAAACTTATAAGAATCTGGTAAATCTCAACTGAAAGGTAGAAAAATCTGAAAACAATTTCCACAGGAAACATAATTTTATGATTGTTATTAGGCAGAATCCAGAATTATGTAGCATTCTGTGAGACAGTATGTAACTAGGAAAACTGAGGTAGGCAGCATATTCCTTGAGCTGAGGGGTCTCCAAATGAATAAAAAAGAGCAAACAAAGTTGGGTAGAAAAGATGAGTGGGATAAATATGAGAGAAGTTGGGGAATAGGACTGAATATGACCAAAATACACTGTATGAAACTCAACAAACTCAAAAATTATCTAGACATAGCATGCAAAATTTTAAGAATCCCTATCAAAACACTAAAAAGCTTTAAATATTTATGACTATGAGACACATGCTTCAGTTGTGATACACAGATACAATGGAAATCTTGTAAAGGCTATGCAGTGCTGTCAAAGAGACTCCCAAAACATACAACCTATTGCTGTTGCCCCTGCTAACAGCCCAGAGAAGGAAGACAAGTCTCTATTGCTGAAGAAATTATGTACTTCAGAAACAGGGCCCAGAGGCCACTGAAATAGAACTAATTTGAATGTTCCCTCCCTGAGGACTAACTTTCATGGTATCAGAAGATGCCATGCAAGCTTCCAAAGGAGACAGGCAACCAACAATCCCACCCAACAGCTATGAACTACATCAATGACCAGCATAGTACAATAACTCTAAGGGAGCACTAGTATAGTACACATACCTTGGGAGTAACCAACAGCCCTTCAATTAGACTTAAGAGCCACTCAACAAAAGGAATACCATGCCCAGTACTGAAAAATCTAGTTAACTAATCAGTGCTAGTGAAATCTTAACTATTAGAGGAGAATCTACCTACAACTACTAATTCACTAAACCGGCATAATCTCTAACAACAATTAAACATATGTCCTTATACCCACAGATAAGTGTAGTCATCACTCCTCATCAAGGAAACTTCTCTGCACAAAAATAAAAAACTACAGAAAACCACAACCAATTAATAAGCAAAATTATGAAGCCCAGTCCCAATGAATACATCCACAAAACATTCCTGGCATCCAAGGCTCAGGAAACACTGCAGAAGAGGGGGCAGAAAGTTTCTAAGACCCAGAGGAACAGGGACTTCACCATGAGACTGTTTCCTAGTAACATCAGAAGCTACATCTGTAAAGACTCACAAATCAATATGACTGCACAAATGTGAGCCAAACAAGGAGATTATCAATAAACATGACAAACTGCACAGGAAGAGGGGGAAGGCAGAAGGCTTCAACTCTATTTGAAGAACTACAGGCAAATGAGTAAAGATGGGAATGGGAGAGGTGGTCCTCCCTAGGGAAAAGCATACCAATTGGTTGTCCAGTACCAAATGGTCAGCCCTGAAGATACATATATAGTGGGATATTTTTCCTGAAAGATGGGAGGAACTAAGGTGGGAGGAGTAAGGAGAGGAAGAGGAGGAGTAAGGAAAAGAAGAGGATAAGGAAGAGGAGGAGCTAGGGAAGAGAGCACCAGAGAGAGGGGAACATAGAAGCAGACATGTGCCTGTCTCTAGCAGTCAAAGGTAGGTGATATATCTAGGTTGGGTATTGGGTTACACTTCTGATTGTGTGGGCATCTTGTTATTGAGCATTACCAAATATATAAAGCCTTTGGATAATCTAAGCATTAGAGTCTCATTCCTACCGGGCCCGCATGGATGGCGGGATGGTCTGGGCACTGCCCAGCCTTGTAGAGACAGCGTGGAAGATTGGCAGTGCCATATCCCACGCTGGCGTCTCGTGGGTGGCAGGGCCGGTGTCTTTGAGCAGCAGTATGCCGCCTCTGCTCATGGCCACAGGCCTAGACTAGTCAGGAACATGGCGGCTGATTAAGAAATGCCAGATTAAATGCTGCCGTTTTAATTATCTCCCGCAACATACATGGAAGTAACATTATATGGACTCATCAAGTTATAGTTAGGAATCTATGTGTATATACAAAGTCATACATGTGTTCAATAACAAGCAATGAAAGATGAGTTCGTGAACGCTGTCTCAAAAAAATAAACAAACTAACTAACAAAATAAAATTTGACAAAAAAATAAAGGCCAAGTATAACAATAACGGGGTGAGAGGACTCAAGACTGCCAGGCTAAAAATTAAACAACAAAATAAAAGAAATGCAGAATAGTATATAAAGAATAATCTCTTCATTAGGCATGGCAAAACTATGAATCTATGAATAGTATATGTGTTTGTATATTATAACAGAATTTTTAAATACAATAACTGACAGGACCTGTTACTTTTCTGACTCAATGTAAAAATGAATAGAGATATGTCAAACTTTTTACTGTGTTCTTTTAAAATTTTGTCAACCATATTTAACCTAGCCAAACAATTCCATTTTAAATTAGCCTTCAAACTGAAAAAGTAGGTAGAATTATAGAACTCTCTTGTAGAGGAATTTTAATCAAGCAACGTGGCTGCTCTGGCAAGAGAACATCCAAAGACGTGATCAGGCTGGAAAACAGGCACACCTGGAGTATGGTATGATCTGGCTGGAAGACAGACCTGCCCTTACTTAGTACACATCCCTAAGGTAAAATCAGTTTGTAGAAGAAAGCAGCAATGTTTGAAAATGTTGTCTAATTGAGGGGCAAGTATCAAATCACAAAAGATGTGAAAGAATGAATCAGAGACAGGCTAGACACGCAGCTCTCAGGAGGACAGACAGGAAAGAGAGGCTAATACTTAAGGGCAGCGAGCGCATGGTCAGCGGGGAGTCAGTGCAGTCAGTGCAGTGCAATGGAACTGAGTTCATTCATAAGTTCATGCAGTTCAGTGCAGGTCAGCAGAGGCAGTTGAAGCCAGAGATTAAGGAGTCAGAAGATTAGAACAAACTGCCAGGATTACTTTGAGGCCAGGCAGAGAGTAAGAAGCTGAGAGAAGCCAGATTGAATCAGTCAGCTTGGAGAGGAGACAAAGCCAGAACAGCCTAGTTGAACCAGTCAGCCAAAATTCAGGAAGAACTAGAAAGGATGAGCTTATTCAGCAGTAAGCCTCCCAGACAAGAATTCCATGAAGTGAATAAAGCACGTTTACACTCTACTTCTTAGTACTGTTGTGAAAGTATGAATGTGACTCTAAAATCTGAAATGTGAATCTGAACAGATCATCATACCTTCACTATATTGGCTGTATTACACAACATGAAGAGCCTGTTAATAAAGCTTGACTAAGTCATTCCTTCCTTTTCTTTTTCCTCTTTCTATTCTTTCCTTTGTCTTGTCTCCTCCCTCTCCCTTCCCCCTTCCTCCCTCCCTCCCCCCCTCTCTTTCCCTCCCCACCCCAACACCTCCTTTGTCATTCTAAATGACTCCATGTGTATTGCAGTATTAAGGAATGGTTTTGTGTACTGTGTATTCAGATGCTCATTTTTATGCCCAGATAGCCGACTGCAGTCCTGATGATATGGTCAAGCATCTTCAGTCTCAATGTTAGATAAAAATTGTTTTCCATCACCTCTGATTGATTAATAAAAGAGCTGATCAGCCAATTAGCTGGGCAGAAGAGTTAGGGTGGGACTTCCAATCCCAGTCAGGGGATCCAAAAGAGAAGAGAGTAGAGAAGGACCCTGAGGAGCAATGTGTGTGGAGAAACCATGTGGAAGGTTCAGGAGTCTCCATGAGGACACACATGGAACAAAGCAAGGCAGAGCAAGACCCAGATTGAAGGTAAAGGATCATGTGGCTGGAAAACAGTCAGCTTTAGAGGGCTAGAATAACACAGAACCTGGCACATTAATAGAAAGAAAGAGAGAGAGAGAGAGAGAGAGAGAGAGAGAGAGA